TCCCACCCCCAGCACGGCGTCCGCTCGCAGCTCGTGCGCGCGATAGCTGGTCTCGAGGTATGGATACACGAGGAGATGCTGAGCGCGTCGAGGGAGGAGTTCCTTGGTAAGCTGCGAGGTGGGTCATGGTCAAGTGTTGTGACACAACTTGGACTTGGGGCTGACGCGCGAGTGCAGAGTTGGAGTTATTGTTGCGCGAGGACATTCAGCTCGGGGTTGCGGTGGCCAGTGATCGTACAGCTTCGTCTCGGTTTTGGCGGTGGAGGCTTCCTGGAGCGCTTTGAGTCCACTAGCATTTGCGAAAAGTAAGGCGGCGATTATCTTATAACACCCAATAATTAGCCTGTCTCGGAGTTTAACCAGCGGCCTGATGAACCGACAGCTTTGGACGTTTTTCGACGGGGAATCTGCCCGCAGGGCGATAAATTCCCCGAGGCGGGGCACAAAGTGTGGCTTCCCCATTACCAGCGGAGACAACGGCGGGATCCAGAAGGTGCCCAGAATGCGCCCGTGAATACATACGTTGCGTCCGAACCACCGACTACTTATATCGTCAACTTTTCATCTGAAGGGCTGAATGACTCAAATTTCCAGGGTTATTCCACGTGGACATTGGGCATACCATCAAGTCAAGTCTTTCGCTCTCACCTTACCGCGCCAGATTCAAATACCTCCGATTCCACTCTATGAATCCTGCTCCCCCTGGCTTAGGCTTAAGTCGAAGTCTCGTGGATTGGCTTAAGTGGCTTACGCGGTGGCTTAAGCCGTACATTTCCTTGTATCTGGATAGTACATTCATATATAGACTAAACATTGTCCTCTAAGCCGAGTAAGCCAGCTTAGCGGCCTAAGCCGACTCAGCGGCTTAGCTCCGGTGAGCTGGTCGTGCCGCTCGAGAAACTGCACATTCCCTTAGTCAAACGACTTCCGTTCAGCGTGGTTTTGGCGTGGTTAACGTGACTTACCGGGAGCAAGGCCTCATTCGGATTCCAGAATTCTCCGCCAAGAATCCACGTACCGGGGCGGTGGCGCTACATGCGCTGAGGACGATGGCAAGGCTTGCATTGGACGAGATGGCATGAGCAGAGGGAGAGGTGGCAAGGGTGGTGGTCGTGGTGGGAGGAGGACAAAGATCGGCAGAGGCGTTTCTTTGTTCTCAACAGTGATTGATGATTGATGGCATTCGTCCATTGTTCGACTTGGACTTCGACATCTCTTCCTTCCCCACCACCATCCCCACTGGCCTCTCCTCTGCCAGAAGCCTTTCCTCTACCCCTTCCTGAGTTTCACACTCATTGGTACACTCACCGGCTCTGCCGCCGGCGTTGAAACAACTTTAGACTGCAAGCTTCGCGCCACCGTCGGAGATCGAATCCAGTGGCATTATCGAGCGCGACCCAACCCTATGAATGATCAACCCAGGGTGAGTCTGACCCTCTCCCATGGAGGTCTCCGCGACTTGATTGGTGATTTTGTCGCGGCAATAGTATTAGTGGCACAGTCCCGCTTGAGCGGCTTAAGCCGTGTTAGCCGCTTGAGCCGTTGAGAGCCGGCTGACACCGCTCAAGTCGCTTTTCAAGCCACTCAGAGGGGCGGCTTATTGCTGTTTTCAATTATAATGACACACACTCGAAAAAAAAAAAAGTTTTGAGGTTGCTAAGGCGCGAGTTCAAGCCGAGATGCCGTCATCACTTTTGGGACTTAACACAACCACACAACGCGTCTCTTCTCTTCGCTTCTGCCTCCACCTCTGCCGCCGTCCCTCCCATGTCGAGCCCGCTCACCCCAGGAGAAGAAGGTGCGATACTACGCGTCTACAACAAACCCTGGCTACATATAGGCCACAGAGCCGGTGTCCGAGTACAACGAAGGCCGTGGCCTGCTTTTCTCTGTCGAGTTCACACCGCTTCCGCCCCCACCCCCTGCCGGAAAGAGAAGGCGCGCGAACGCGAAGAAGCCCAACCCCAAGAAATCCAACTTTTATGTCCACGAGCAGTCGGAGTTGAACGACATGCTGCATGCTGCAATCAAGGCCCTTGGCCGTGAAGCCGGCGACGATCAGCTTACCTTTTCTTGGTCCCCGCGCGATGGCACATTCTCTAGCAACACATTCGATATCCCTGGAATGACCTACAGTATCATGAAAACATCCTTCAAAGAAATGTCTCTCTCTAATGCAGACGACTATGCTATACTCCTCGACCAAGCCCAAAAGAAGGAGGTTCCCGGCCTTATCAAAGTTTTTATTGAAGAGCTCGAGGTACGTGGCTCCAAAGCTTACCGTGATGGACCCTGACTCTTGAGAAGAGCGCGACAAATGCAGGTGCCGACGAGGACGAGTCGTCAGATGAGGAAGAGGCACGTCGGCCGAAGAAGAAGAAGAAGGTGCGTCCATTTGGGTGATTATTCCTTGCACATCCCAGTCAAACTGACGTGGACTAGGGATATGAGCCATCACCCGAGGAGGTCGAGCAGACCGAGCATATCGTCAAATTGACGCAGGAGTGGAAATGCGAGGATAGGAAATGCAAACGATTCACATGCTATCCCGACCGTGCAACGGCTAACCATGTTCACTTGACCCATTTTCATCTTCAGACATGGGCCGCTGCAATCGTGAGTTTCCCGTCGTTAATCCTCCTTGTGGATGATTCAAATCTAATTGTCCGAACAGCAGGGCAAGCATGTCAATCAGGACGGGACCCCGGTCGATTTCCAACACCCACCCGATGACAAGCTCTTCGAGTACCTCGAGCCCGATGTTGGGGACCAGCAACTGCTTCGCTCGCGAGCCCAGAAGACGTCGACCAAGGACTCGAACATTACCATCAATTTAACCCTTCCTGATACTGCGCCGGCAGGAGCACTCGCGCCACCCGTGCAGCAGCCCCACGTCAATCAGCCGATTCGTCGTCCCATTCCGCCGCAACTTTCCCTCGAATACTTTTGCCAACGCTTCAACCTTGGTGCGACTATCCGCGATAAACTTGATGCGTATTCCGTTACTGGTCCACAAACACTACGACACCTCAAAAATGAACATCTGGCGGAGGCTGGACTGAATCCTGCAGAGATCTCAGATGTGCGCGATGCGCAGGACAGATGGATGGCGGGGGAGGGACAGGAGTAATCATTTGTGGAGCTAATTGTGGACTCTAGACTGTAAACTGATTCGCTAGGGATACGTGCAACTTGTACATACAACAACCATGATACTCGTAGAATTTGAGATGTACAATCAACCGAGAAAGTAGCCCGAATGGCGGAAGAAACCATAAGTCATCTCCGGCGTAACCATCTGAAAGGCGCGGTATATCTCATAATATGCGGAGTCCTCGTTGAAGAAGTGAATCCCCATCCGACGGAGGTGGGACTTGATCACGGAGAAAGCCTGTTCGATAGGATTGTAATCGGGGGAGTAGGGAGGTAGGTATTCCACTCGAACACCTGACGACAGATAAACAGCCTGGCCATGAGCGAGGAGAAGTGAACCATACCATATTCAGCACACAACTCGTCAATCTCGTCGCCGTGGTGGATCCGCGCATTATCCATGATAAGGACGCTTCGTGGCCCGGGATACGGCGTCGTGAGGGGTAGCTGCAGCGAAGGTGAATAGCACATTCAACGGGCACAGACATGACTCAACGTACCACGCTGTCACGCAGGAACTCAACATATGTCTTACGACACAAGGAACCCTCGACGACCTTGGCAGCAATAATTCCCTCCCCCAATGCCATTGCCGCCACTCCTGTGAGACGCCGCTTGCGCACGAAGGGCTGGCTCACTTCTGCTCGGGTACCAATTTCAGACCGGCCAAAGATACGTGAGTATGTGCGGTCATCTTTGGAGACCTCGTCGATGGAAAGGAGATACCGGGCGGGATATATGGATATGCGGCGGGAGTAACCAGCGCGGGCAAAAGGAGAGCGTTCGGACGCCATTTTCTGAACTTGTTTCAGACTGATGCGTGCTCGGATGAAGGTGCGGTGGATGGTGGATAGTGAAGCAGGGAGATGGCGGTATCGTTCCAGCCGCTCGCGGTATTCATCAAGAAATATAGTAGGTTTGTGCCGTGCCAGACGGACGAGATAGTCGGCGTCCGACTGCGCTAAAGTGCGCGGACGTCCTCTGCCTAGCACCAGAGCCTTTGCCACGCTGCCGGTGTCCCGCTGTCGTTTGCGCGTACGGTATAGTGTCGAGCGCGAGATCTGCCCAATCTTGAGGATTTCTGCTGTCGAGTCCCGTCCTCGGTCCTGCAATCGAAGTAGAGCCTCCTTGAGGTCATCGCTTATTTTACGGTTGCCCATAGTTGGGAGTAGGATGTGGGGGGAAGTGGAGGCAGAAGCGAAAGAGAAGCGGCGCGTTGTGTGGTTGTGTTAAGTCTCAAAATTGATACCGGCATCTCGGCTTGAACTCGCGCCTTAGCAACCTCAAAACTTTTTTTTTTTCGAGTGTGTGTCATTATAATTGAAAACAGCTATAAGTGATAGGATAATGATGACATTTTACAGCTGTTTTGTGAAATATAGAGGGGTTTCGTAAATAATTCCCACTCGATTTGTGCTTACCTTTGTTGACCGGAAACCGCCCCACAAAGACGTCATTCCTTCTCTCCGCAGCCTACAGGTCTGAATTGAGATGAGCACTTGGTCTGGAGGGTATAGGCACAAAGCTGAACTGTTGTAGACCTTGTGCGGTGTAAAGGAGCAATTTAAACTGACAATTTAGACGCAATTCGGAGTGTCGGGGCCAACGGCCGAAGCGCAATCAGTCAACAAAGGTAAGCACAAATCGAACGTGGATTTTTTACGAAACCCCTCTATATTTTCCAAAACAGCTGTAATGCAGTTGAAATGGGGTAGGATACAATGTACAGGCCTTAAGCCTCCACTTAAGCCACTTAAGCCAATCCACGACACTTCGACTTAAGCCTAAGCCAACTGGGGCAGGTGACAGCCACTCTGGGGCTAAAACAAGACTACCACCCCAATCATTGTTCGCGGGTGGATTCGAACCACCAATCCTCCCCATTGCGGATCCTGTTCCCACAGAACTGGGAGGGAGCGAGTTTCCTGCTTTACTCCACGCGAACATAATGAACTGGATTTCAGATCTTAGAACTGATCAGGTGCGAGTCCACGGGTGGATCCGAACCACCAATTCTCCCAATTGTACCGACACCACCGCTCACGCATGTGTCTTTCCAATGAAAAGGGAGAGGATCCTGACTTCCCGCGTCCGCCCACGTACAGCGACTTCACTGACCAAAAACCCATGAGAAAATAACTAGGTCTATGTCCGCGACGAAAAAGAGGTTGCACAAGTTCATCCATGTCCGCGGGTGGATTCGAACCACCAACTCTCCCAATAACTCCACGGGATCGACAGCTACTAGAAGGGAGTGAGTTGCCTGCTTTACTCCACTCGGACCTGCTCACACTTGTGAATTACTCGCCTAGCTCACAGCCTGGTCTTCTCGTACCGTACCCGCAGAACGGGGCGAGACATTGTCCTGACGAGTCCTGTCTTTCTGTAGGTATCTTGAGCTTTACTTTCATGCGTCATGGGAAATTCGGTGAGGCGGATAATTACTGACTAGAAATCACGGTTCAAATTTACTTCCCACGCCGACGAACTGGCAGCGAACTGTGGTAAAAAAGGATACCAAACGGACGAAAAAGTCACAATCCTCGGCCAATGGTCGGCGGTGGAGTCGAACCACCGAGGGAACTATGCAATACAACTCGCGCTAGTACCATTGCTACCCGCGGCCTCACCGATAGTGTCTTCCGTCTTCGTCGAACCATGCAAAACAACGTAGTCGACGCACATGTCCGCGGGTGGATTCGAACCACCAACTCTCCCAATTATCCAAGGCTCTGCCAAAGCTTTCACTGGAGGGGAGCGAGTTGCCAGATTTGCTCCACACGGACATGGATGTACTGCCCTCGTTCTCATGTTGGAGATGAAGCTTCCGCGCCGGCCTTGGCGTCGCTACTTCCTGGGTTATAATCTGTCCCTCCACGGTGGGAGAGGACGAGAAAAAAGACCGACACGCTACAAGTCAGAGCCGTCGGTGGAGTCGAACCACCCGCCGGTGGAACTAATGCACATATACATCCGTGCCATTCGTGTCCACGGCCTTGAATTTGTGCTTGTAAGATGTGTCTCTGTGTGAAGAGTTTTTGCAGAATCAGCTGCACCTACGGCTGGCCGCGCTGCTGGGCAAAATGCGCAATAGCCTGACCTTGGAGGTAATGTCCCTCGGTGGAATCGAACCACCTGCGCGGCAACTGCCGCTAAATCGACAGCCGCTCACTCGGAACTCAATTATGATTCAGGCGGACTTACTTACCGCCGCCCTCGTTGTGCGAGGATACAGAAGCTCAGGCTGTGGGACGAGTGGATGGGCCAAACTAAAAAAGGCAGCCTACCGCTTGTGATTTGCATCATATCCTCTGGTGGATTCGAACCACCGCCCTCCCCGTACCGACCGAACGAGAGGAGGCGCCGTGCCCGTGCGCGGTGAGGACCTTGACTTATAGTGTGGTTTCGGTGGGTATATCCTCGACGCTGAACGGTCCATTCAAGAACTCCGCGTCGGTTAAAACTTGAGATCTTTGGAGTCAAACTTTGCCATCACGATGACCGTTGGTGGCGGACACTCTGATCGACTCACAAACATGTTCAGATTTATCAAGCAAGACTATAGTCTGTGCGGTCCAGGCTGAACACAAACGAAGTCGTGGGAACATTGACACAAGAGACGCTGTATGTGTTGAATTAGTTTTCCTCGATGCGGCTTGGTTCGATGTCCTGGTGGGATGAACACCGTTTACAGTGTCATTTGTCGTTTATTCGGGTGAAAAAGCTGCGAACTGGAAATTCGGATGTGGATGGGTGGGTTCGAACCACAACTCAATCAATTCGGCGTGCAATGCGACAAGGCCCTCTATAGTCCAGGCAGGCACTGGCAGACTTCAGTTCTACAAGGTCCTACCTTTCGCGTGAGGCGGTGGGATCTCATGCAAAACAGCAACAACAAAAAAGACAATTTGCAACGCACATCATCCTCGGATGGATTCGAACCACCGCCCTCGGGAGTACGAGGCGCCGCACGGCGAGGACCTTACTCTGTGTGTAGCCATGAGTACACCTAGCGAGACGTAGAAATCCGGCGAGGCTGGATGCGGTGTACGAGGTCCATCGAAATATAGGGATACACAGCGCCTGGTGCCAGGTGTGCATTCTGCCACGCCGGTGTACGGTCAGAGACCCTCGTTCGATTCGAGGCAGGTGTGTTCCCCGAAGTCTCCGTCTTTTCTTCTTCTTTTTTTTTTGAGCAAGCTTGTTCGTTTTTGGACTCATACCGCTGGGCTTATCCTGATGTGGGTTCGCCCGGTTGAACCTCTTGTGTTTCATGTTCAGCCTCCAGGTTCAACATCGGGCGCAGAAACTCCTGGCAGTGTCGGCTAGTAGCTAGTAAAATCTAGATCCGGGGAAAAATTCACGCATAGAAAACGTATAGGACGCCGAATGCGACCGCCGTCAAAAAGGAAATGGTTAGCATGTCTTGCGGGCAGGTACATATATGTATGCAGCGCCTGGAGGTCCAAGATGTCCGCCTGTGCACCTCAGGTAGACTGCTCCGGTCACCGTCGACCGACCCTGGTTCAATTCGAGGCAGGCGCATTCCAGAGTTTTGTGTACGTTTTTTTCTCCGTTATCCATAGTATTGAAGCACGTCGTCTATGGCTCGGGCCATTTAACAAAATGGCAAAAATAGTTTGCATGAGTATTGCATCCAGGAAGAGATATCTACAGTGCCGGTGGGGAGCGCCGCCGTGCTCCGACGAAAACCAATTACTTAGCTCTCGTTCGATTCGAGGCCGGTGCATTCGCAACGAAACGAATCCTTTCTTACCTTGAGCAAGCACGTTCGCGATTCAGGAAAACGATGGATACAACGAGCACAGCGTCGAGACATTTTACAGCGCCGGGACGAAAGTGCCGCGCTCTGACACAAGCAAGTGCCAAACTGACAGCTCTCGTTCGATTCGAGGTCGGCGCATTCGGATTGGAGCAAACTTTTTTTTTATTTGGAGCAACTTGTAAGTAAGTGAACGTCCCATCGGTGACTCGGTCATCCTGCTGGCCCGGTTGAATCTCTTCAAGATCAGTGGAATTACAGTTGGCGGAGGGTACCTGGGTGCCTAGGAATCGTCAGAATGAGGAGACGCCTCAAGTGAGAAAAAAAAAGCCTGCCTTGAACTAATTATAAGTACTTGATTCCATCAACAGCACCGAGCGCGACGCGACACTGAGCGCAATCGGCATTGTATCTAGGTCCAGATATATCCAGCGCTTGAAGGCATAAGGTGTCCGTCCACCCGCTACTCTGTTGTAATGCAAGGCCGTCGTTCGATTCGAGGCAGGCGCATGACAACGACCGGAGCGCTTTTTTTGGGTGTCACTCATACCGGCTGGATTGAGCGATTTTGAGGTTAGGAAGCCCGAGGGTGATTTGGATGGGAAGTTCTCAGGCTGAGCTGGTTCGCCTTGGGTCGCCCGGTTAAACAACTCCTCTGGCTGCACTTTAGATTCAATGGATCGTCCTCGAGTGAGGCACTGTCAGGCAGTCAGTGTAGAATATTGAACTTACGAGGTGGGACGCGCCGCAAACCCACAAAGTGAACACCGCCGCAACCGTGGGAATGTTCACGCGGGAACTACCGAATTCGGTGATCCCCGCTGATCTGCGAAACCTCGTCATTCCGCTCCACCATGTCCGCTCCACTGGAGTCGCGTCTAGGCGCCGCCAGCAGCACTATAAAGCACCCATCCACGCCCCCATCCACATAACCATCTCCCCCCCCCACAACCAGTCCCTAGCCCGCGATGACCTCGACGAACCCCACCGCGCGCCCGCCGAAAGCCCCGCCCATGACCTCGATGCCCTCGACGCCGGGCCCAGAAATCCCAGGCGGCTATCCGCGCAACAGCGTCGTCTTCGCGTCGAATCAGTGGGATCGCAGCGCGAAATCCAAGAAGCCGGGGATGTTCGCAGCGGCGAAGAACTACCTCCCGCCCGTCGTCGCGTCGTATTTCCGTGCGTCTTGCGCCCTAACCCCCCTTTCTCTCGCTAACCAGTGTCGACGTTACAGCCAAAACCCCATCCACACCAACCCCAGGCACAGACGCGCTCGCCCCGCCGCCGCCGCTGAATCGAGGCAGCAGCGCCGTCAGCGACAACTTCAGCACGCGCGCATACGCCGGGTCACAGTCCTCGCGCGACACGTCCACGCCCATGCAGCCCGCCGCCGCCGTCCCCGAGCCCACCGCCGCCGGGTCGCACGCAAGCCCCGAGATCCACAACCCGTACTTCCCGCGCGTGCCGCCGTCCGCCGCTGCCCCTCCACCGGCAGCCAAGCCCGTCGCGGAGAAGAAAGCGGACGGCGTCCTCCCCCTCCCGAGCGTCGCCCCCTTCGCCAGCATCCTCACCTCCACCGGCTCCAAACTCCCTCCCCCTCCCCCTCCGCCTGCTGACGCCCACGCCGACTCCTCCGCCGAGTCCACGCCCAACTCTCACTCGACCTCGTCGCCGCAATCCGCCAGTACCGCGCCTTCGTCGGCCTCCCCCGCCTCCCCCGAATCTCCCGCGAAGAAGACGCGCTTCGCGGTTGAGGAGGGTGGGGCGTCTCCGAAGAGCGGGAGCAGCAGCAGCCGGTTTGCGAGCACCCTTGCCCGGTTGGGGTCCGTGCGCAAGGGCCACGGGCGTGCGCGGAGCGAGGGGGATGCTCTTCCCGCTGCTTCTCCTGCTACCGGTGCTGCTCCTGCGACTACTGCCAACGGCGGTGTCGACGAGCTGGGCGCGCTGCCCGCGAACGGTGGAAAAGAATTGGAAGGCAAGGGGAGCAAACCGAAGCGCACAGGCTCCCTTATGCGCACGCTGCGCGGGGAAGCGACCGTCCTCGCGGGGCGCGTGCGGGGGGACCGCGCGCGGGTTGAGAGGGGGAGGAGGATGGTGCATCCCGAGTCTGAAGATGGGGAATAAATAGGTTTATTTACGCGCACATCCGGACTTTGTAGTTACTGACTCACTGACTCGCTGGCCCCTCGCCATCCATGCACTATTCGTTCAGTCGTTCTTTGGATTTTTTTGTTGTTGTTTCAAGTTCGGACTGCTGTCCGAGTCGCTCGTTATTATAGTCAACCGCGTTTCTATGCGTAGTATTGGATTAATTGGTAACTTGCTTGCTTCGCTGCCAGTTCTCCTGTCCTCCTCTCCATCCGTGTGCCCGTTTGTGGGACCCGTGTGTGGTGGATTCGGGGGGGAAAAAGTTAGCAGGATGTTTGCCTATGTCCTCCGGTGGGATCGAACCGCTGTGCATCTGGCCTCATCATAAGCGACGACTGAGCGCTGGATGGGTTGGTCGGCGCGGCGAGGACTGCGTGCGTGAGGATGACCTCTCATTCATTAATGCGCGCGCCGCGAGGCTTTTATCGCATGTAGTACGGTGTTTCCCGGACCAAAAAAAAGTTCTGCGCAAATGTATACTTCGGTAATCCCCTCGGGTGGAGTCGAACCACCTACCTCCATCCTCAAATCCTCGAATCGCAGGCGCGGAGACGAGGACTGTTGATCGGGGAGGGCTGTAATCCCAAGTTCCAACTTGTGTAAGTAAGCTTATAATGGTCCCCGTGTGGCCGCGTGAGGCGTTCGTGCAAAGAAAAGATTATACCTACATAGCGGGAGTCCGACCATGTCCTCGGGTGGATTCGAACCACTAGTACTCGCTCGACCGCGATTCAAAATAGGCTCCAGGACCGCCGAGCAGCGAGGACTAGTAAGATACTTACATGCTACATCCGATGCCGAGGAGGGTCAGGTTTGCAATTTGAATTTGGCAGGAAAGTCTCGGGAGAAAAAGGG